CAAATTGCGCTTAGAAGAGGCGTCAGGACGAATCTTGAGGTGCGATCTAAATAATCTAAATCTTCTTAAGGGTTTGTGCCTTGCGAAAAAGATAAGTAGGAGCCAGTCTAGTAGTATTTAGTAGTATGGAAAAGCAATTTTATTTTCGTGACATTTCGAACGAAAAGTTGGTTGGAAGGAATTTGTAATGTAGTCTCACCAAAAACCAAAGTAAACATCGTAGGCTCACCATCCTGCGGCTCCGATGAACCCGTGCTAAGTTTTCGTCTGTACCGTAACAGACATTATTGGAACAAGGATTCATACTTTAACAAATAAAGCAGAAATATACGATGTCAAAATAAAACGTGGCCGGCTGCATCACTAGTCGTTTTTTATAAACATAACTTCGCGATCTTAATGAAATATCCCATGATTTGGTTTGCTACCTCACTTTTTCTCAATAACTTCAATTTTTATTTTTCGTTTATAAGTAGAATCGTTTTCCAATTTCACATAGCCTGTCACTACTTGCCCACAGAATGGGATATTCTACCATCAGACAAGGTGGTGTTTACGTGAGCTGCCCGAATCTCTGTACTCCGTCTCAAGACATGACTCAAATAAAACACAGAAGGCAAGCGAGTAAATGACACTTAAACTAAGACATATTTCGAATTTATACGCACCATATAAATAGGTAAGGGGTTGCTAGAGGACCTGAGATACCGAGTCTCATATTTTATTTTATTTTCGTCTAATCTCAATGCATGACAATAAAGCCTACTCAGCATTAGGTCACATGCTCATGAACGGATGCGCGAAACCTGGAGGCATGTCTGTGGATGCCAGCCTCCTAATCAAGGGCTAGACAGCCGAGGGGATTCTTATCTTCTGATCAACGACTCTTCTGCCACTTTTGGCTATTTTCACACTTTTCATTTAACCGGCATTCTCGTAGAATTTATCTTCTCTTGCGCATGTATAAACTCAAGTACGCCTGCTAGTTAGACTTCATGTATTTGCTCATAGGCCGCTTAAACAGATGTGGAAGTGATAG